ATAACTTCAACAAGTGCTCTAAAACAGTAACTATTACTCCATTTTTTAGCTTCTATCTAAAACGAACTACTTTTAATATGAATTAAGTATTTTTATTTAAACAAATATTTATAGAAATTTGAAAAATGTTATGCAAAGGCTGTGCTGTGGTAGCGCCTTAGTCTTCTCCTTTGAGGATTGGTGATTTTGGGTCATTTAAGTCTACTTTTCTAGTCTACTAGTAATAATTAATCCCTTTATCTATCAATCATTGTGTCTGACTAGCCTCGTGAAGTTGATAGAAAGAAATAAGCTTTGGAAAGAAAATATTTAAGGAGGTGGGGCATTGTCACTTTGTAATTATTAATACGTATATGCATCATTCAATCAATGAATAGATTTAGTCAATACTAATTTAGTTTTGGGTCCGAATTCATGGTATCCCTTTAATTATCCCATCCAAACCAAAAAATACCCAGAAGGAGGAGTCAAAAAGTGATTTATGGTGATGACTATTATTTTTTAATTTTTTTAAATTTTTTATTATATATATAATTTTATATATAAATATAAATATATATGATCCTTTAATCATTCTTCATATAAAATTTTAAATTTATCATTAATCAAGTCTAAAAGCTAAAGCGAGTGACGGTGCTTATAATGGAAACAAGCTTTCAAAGGTGGATTAAATCTAAGTGATAACCTGATAACGTGCAAACTAGGGTTCGATTCAAATAGGAAAGGTTCATCACTAATCACCACATATAAATTTTGGTCATTCTGTTATGACAACTACTATCTCCATAATCTTAAATTTTAGGCATAATTAGTTACCATGTTTTGGTATACCTAGAAACCTGGTGATTGTTATTCCCGCAGCCCATAAACATTAACTCACTTTAACTGTCGGAAAAAGAAAAAAAAAAAAACAGCTTTGATTACTAATTAGAGAACTGTCACTCCCCACCCACATGAGCCCCGCATAGTTATTAATGGCATCCAATCACGTGTCATGAACTTAAATGAACTTGTTAGGTAAAAAATTATTGACTTCCATATATAATTTTAAACATAATATTGAAAGATATTTTTAAATTATTTAAAAAATAAATTTTTATTCTTTTATTATATTTAATCAAACTCTTATATTTTTATTTTGAATCAGATAAATCTTTATAACTAATAGTTGACTAATTATCATTAATCAAAATATCATTTGTTATTTTATATCGCGTGACGTTTACTATTAAAAATGATAAGTTCCTATCTATAAAACTAAATTACAATTCGAGAGTAATTATGCAGGGAAGATATTGGCATGTTTACGATGCTCGTTCAAAGAATAGTATCAATTAATTATGTATTGTCTTGTTTTAACCAAATTAATAATCTTTAATTTCATATTTATTTATATTCCCTTAATTATATTTTTTCAATTTTTTCTTTTCTTTTATAACCATAACTAAATTTTAGATACTTTCCCATATCTTCCTAACACTTTGGTGGGACTTGAAAATTTTCCTTAACTCCAGAGGATTCAAGAAAACATGTTTATTTTCTTGAGAAGGTTTAGTTGCCAGATTCATTCAGTATTTTATGGTATGAGCTTTTGATTTTAAACTTTAAACTTTTTTTCATTTTTTATTTTTATTGCTATTTTATTAATTTCTATCTACTTATTATGTATGAAATATTTATTTATTTCCTTAATAAATGAGATCCGTTAAGTTGGAAACTTTTCTAATTAATTCTTTGAGCACTTTACTAAAATTTAAAAATATTTTCACACCTCAAGAATTTTCAAGAAGTTTATCTTTACAATTTTCTTGAAAATCTCATCATCAAAACAACCTAATGGTGTTATGTCTTAAAACTGAAGCAAAAGTTTCTTAGTAGTCCATTTCATATTATCATGTGTAGCCTTTTACATCCTCCCTTGCCTTAATTTGTTGTTGTCACCACCATCATTTAGCTTTGTTCTGTACACCCATTTCACCCAATAACATGCTTATGACTTGTTCTATCAACAAGCTTCAATGTATGGTGTTTCTTAATCATCTCAATCTCATCTTCAAATGCTTGCTTCCAACTAGACGATTTTGCAACTTCCTCAAAGTTGACATGCGCCAAAACAACAACATTGAACCTTCCATACACATCTTCCTCAATGTTCTTGTGCCTCCCATCGGTGCATCATTAATTCCATCCTCAACTGTCAATGGTTTTGCATTAAACCACCATCTACCTTGTCTATCATTTCATCTAGTTCTAATATGGCCCCATTCCAAGCTGCCCCTTCATCAAATCTTAGATCCCTGCAAATTACTACCTTGTTTGTGCTAGGATTAAAAACCTTATACCCTTTGACAATGTTAAAGAAAAATGAAATAAGAAAAATTTATAAAAAGGTAAAAGAAAACCATGGTTAGTTAAAAAGAAGATAGGTTAGGTTAGTAAAAAACATGAGATAGAAGTTTGGTTAAAAAAAATGCATAAATGATAATAACTATGAAACAAAATATTTGGTTTTAAAAAATATTATTTTTAGGGAAGTTTATGTAGTAAGATAAATAAGTGTTCGCATAGCAAAAAACATAACGAAATAAAAATGATTATATTGGAACAATAAGTAAATATAAAATATTCGTTTATGGTATATATGCATATGGGAAGACATGGTAAAATTTTTAAAGATAAGAAACACATGTTACAATTTATGAGTGCATCACATACTATTGTTGCATTGTTAAATGTCATGGTATATAGACATATTCTGTATACGAGTATAAGCCCTGATAATAGGACTTTTCAAGGGAGCTCGCGAAGGTGAGTTTCTTTGAAAAATTCTCTAGGTGAAAAGATACCTTCGAGTCCCACTAGTATGATGAGAGGGCTCAGAGAATATCTTTAATAAAAGGTCTTCGCTTGTAGTAGGTTTGCATTCATGAAAAAATATAATTTTTACTTGCAAATGACTACTCGATGAAGGGATTTACTCGTTAAACTTACAAAAGCGAGTTTTCTTAGTAATTTCCTAGGTGAAAGGATATTTCTGAATCCCACTAGTATGATGGGTGGATTCAATATATATCCTCAATAAAAGGTTTCGTTTGGCATTACTCAAATTTTTTGCCATGCATTTAATAATCGCATCATGTGCACATTACACTCGTAAAACCAAATAAAATATTTTAATTTGTTAATAGAATAAAAGAAAAATTAAATAAATAATAATTAAGAAAATATAAGAATAAAATTAATGTGTTAGAATAATCTATGATTAAATGGTACTGTTCGTAGAATGAGCGTTATAGGGGTACTAATCCTTCCTTGTACGTAACCGTACTCTTGAACCTAACTCTAAATAAAATATGTAAACCAATTTGTTGTTCTTTTGACGAACCTAAAGTCAATTTAGAACTCCGTCGAATAGAACAAATTTAATGAGTGGCCAATCATACCTAGGTAAAAAAAAAAGATTAGTGACGATTCCCTAAGCCATCCACGTCTAGCGATTAAGTTCTTAGACCTGCTCGTTATGACAATACCAAAATGTTAAATTTACATATTGGCACCATTATACCTTCATGTATAATAGGAATGTCACATGCCCACCTATCACATGGACCTTAATAGTATTTACGTATTAGCATCATTATACCTTAATGCATAATAGGAATGCCACATGCTTACCTATCACATGGACCAAAATGGTATTTACATAGTGGCATCATTATACCTTAATGTTTAATAGGAATGCCACATGCTAATGCCTTGCGTTTTCCATCACATGGACCTTCATCAACTCAAAATGGTTTACTTTAGGATCTTTATCTTTCTCATCTTGCTTGTGAATCCATCTTGGTTGCAACAATCTTTTTTCATTTGAAGATGATTATTAAGGTTCTCGAGAGATATTTTCTTCCTTATGCTTTAGAGTTTTCTTCGTGTCTCTCTAAGATGGGAGAAGTATGTTAATTATAGAAGACACAATAATAACCTTATTCATGTCAAGATCATATATGAATATAACAAAATCCTTCTTTCCAAACAATATACATTTTCCATGAATATCAAATACAATATCATGCATATCAAGTAAGGAAAGAGAACTTATCTTGTAATTTAATGTAGAACCATTTTGCCATAAATGAACCATAGATTCTTCTACAAAGCAGTCTAACTTGACAATGTTGACGGCCCCATCTTTTTTAATGAAGTCATTTTGAATTCAAACACCACGAAAATAAGTCTTAAAAGTGTTGGTGCGTATGAGGTTTGGATGGAATTCAAGGAATTGGTAAAAATGACTTCCACATGAGCCTTTTAATAAATACTATCTTTAAGACTTATTTCTCCCTCATCACTCGGTATACAAGAGAGAAATTATGCGAATATCCTTATGGATATAATGAAGTTAATGTCTAACTTTGTCTTTGCACTTTACAAGACTAGAATGCTAGATACACTTAAGGTTTGCAAAATTATTTGGTCTTAGAGCCTACTTTCTACAGCAAGTAGATTATAAGAAATTTGGATTCTTTTGATAGATAATGAGAACTCAAGTGTTTATGTTTATTTTCAAAATGTAACACTTTTTATCTCTCTTGTGTCAAAATGGTTGATAGCAAGTCCTTCATATAGGTTTAAAAGTGTCTTTTCTTCAAAGACACGACCCCTTCATTAAGGCACCAATTTATCTTAAAGATACCTTTGCATTTTTCAAAACACAATCCTTAGATAAAGGAATTGTTTTAATAATTATCTTATGAAACAATACATTCAATCCATAAAACATAATTTTTGAGCTATAATATGAAATGATAACTTTTCACATCCAAGCTTTTGAGTTATGGTATTTTTTCAATTGTCTCATATTAGAAGTGTTTTTCTAACATATCACTTTTCAAGAAGCATAATTATTCACATGAAAAACTTAAATAGCTATTTATTATGTGATAACTTTTTATTTTGAAAATACGCAAACAGCTGGTTCCTAAAGATGATACAAGGCACTGTGAAAAATAAAACTAGACTTGTTTTCTTTTCTATTATTTAAAGATATACCATTTTTACATGCTTTTTCGTATCCACTTTTAGGATGGAACATATACTCATTGACATTTGTACACTCATGAACAGCCTCGTTGATAGATACAAAAGAAAAAAGTACAAAGTAGTAAAACAGAATCAATAAATCTCTATAATCCGTCCCTTCTTTGCTGTTTGATCACTGTAGATTCACAAGTTTGTAACCCTTTTGCAAAGGATTAAGCCAATGGAACACGTTTGCGGTACTCTGCAAGTGCCCACAGTGGGTAAATGTTCCTATATGCTGCATAGTGTAACATGCAGTTCTTCATGAAGACTCCAGTAATTTCCTGTCAGGAATAAGATTCAATCGTTAAATAAAGTACAGGTACAGGAAAGTAATAGTATAATGTATGAATAAGTTAATTACATATTCTAAATGCTTGAAACAAGCATCTTAAAATGACTACTTGGATTCTATAAAGTATGCCTACTAAAGACGCTAGGATAGGCAGTTTCCTCTTTCCTACTAGTATCTTTTTCTAGTAAGCTACAGCAAGGATAAGCACCTGTTGCGGAAAGTCACCATCCTCCAATTGAGAATTGATTATCAGCTTTGCAGCTCGGTGAAGAGGCGTAGGGTCTCTTTCCGCCTGTTACAACGAAAATTCAACGTGAAAAGACCATGGGAAGAAATTGACAGTTACAATGGGCTCTGCTTGAACAACAGACTTTTAGACTCACCTGTCCAGCATGAATCAAACCCATCATAGCCCATGCAGTATGCACCAAGTTTGATCTGCCTTCTTCTAGAGGTACATATTTCTGTATCACCAATCACAAAGATATTACTAGTTGAATCAAGGCTGAGATTAGAGAAAATGTTTATCATATGTCAAAAGTGAAACAGGACAGATAATATATGGCATAAAAGATTTACCTTGTCAGGGCATGATTTGTAGCTCTCTCCCCAGCCACCATTATCTCTCTGGGATCTGAGTAGAAATTCAACACCTTTGCGCACAGCTAGACAATTGGTGTATGTCTTGCCAGCTGCTGCTAGCCCTCCAAGTGCAAACCACGAACCATATGTGAAGCAAACTCCCCAGTTTCCATACCTGTTGAATTGTTCTTATAATTAATCTCTGATGCTTTGAAGAGCAATTATAACACTACATATGTCATGAATTTGAAGTGAACATACCATGAACCATCAGGCATTTGTACATTTTCAAGGTAGCGTACGGCATTTGGGATAAAATTGTCGATTTCCTTCTTTCTGTGCCCAGGATACAGCTTCTTGAACAAAAACAAGGCATGGATTGCAGATGCAGTGCACTCAACATATTCATGCTCAATGACTATATCAGCGAAAAATTCTGTTGGATTAAGCATCTGAGGAAGAAAACCATAGAAAGAGATATCATCAATATAAGAAAATTAAGAAGGAATATGGAAGAGTTTAATAATCTAACAAATTTCCTGGCAAAACAGATGCACTTCAATGCTTAAGCACATACTTCCAACCAGTCTTGAGCTCCAGCTGGCTCCCATGCAGCCAATCCACCATTTTTGCTCTGTAAGGAGTGAAGCAATGAGGCTTACTTAAATTGACAGCTGAAAATAAGTGGAAACTATCTTTGAAAACCTGAGGCGAGTAAATTCTTACCTGCAAAGAGAGCAGAACATTGACTGCATCGTATAACTGCTGAGGTTCCATTTTCTCACCCACAATTTCTGGTGGCAGCATGGACATTAGCAGGCAGCACTGCAAAACAGAGGAATATCTATGAAGGCAAGATGATATTAAAGGATAGATGCATCCCTCAATTTCTTTAAAGCATTTGACTAAGGCTAAAAGAACCAGTTACCTTCAAGCCTTCTGCAGTGCAATCAGAAACTTGCCATCCGTGATCTTGATCAGAGAAAGTCCAAGATCCCTTGGAAATATGGCGGTACATTTTCTTAAAGTCGCCAGATGGATTATCCTTGACCTAGACAATTTTAATCAGAAGATAACAATTATTTCTGCTAATACTTAATGAACAAAAAAATAAAAGGAAATGGCTTCATGATGAATGACAGCATATTAAACCTGAGATTTCTTGATGAAGTCATGTCCTCTCTTGAGAACAGGTCCAATTTCGTCAGTGAGGTTACTAGCAAGCAAAGCTTGAATAGCAAAACCAGTATCCCACTCTTGGCTTCCGAAACTCTGCAGCCCAGTATCACGTGTTCATCAGCACTTGGAAGGAATTTTAAAGGAAAATCAAAGCTTGCAAGACCTTTCATTGTTATTGACTCCATCATCATTAAATCAAACCAGGGTGTGATCCTTGTGGGGAACATCTCGGAACTAAAATCCTAATGCATTGGCTGATGTGAGGGTTTGGGTTCTTAAGGGTATTAGGATCAGGTAAAACTTGAGATAACCCTGACCGTATCGTCAACCTAAATAAACAAATAAATAAGATTATTTTGGAGAATGCTTGTGAGCAAACCTGCATCTTCATTCCATCTTCAGCAACCCAAAGATAGTCCGGGATTCGAGCAAGATGTTTCTTAAAATAATCACTGTTTGGTTCTTCAGCCCAGCAAGCAAGCATGCATAGCACCTACTCCATCCAATGATACCAGATCATTAGCAACCAAATAGCCACACTTGCATTGAACGCACGACCTCAATATTCCTATTTACTTGAATTAACTATGATAGTAAAATTACCTTCTCCACACAACCAATGGTGATGTATCTGCTATTCTCATCTTCGTAATGTATGTGTTTTATTGTTACTTGAAGGGCCTTCTCTCTGACCAACTTGTTAAAGGGCCAACGAGTAAGCAGAGGCTCGGTACATATATACAGACTGTCCCACATGAGATCCTGAATCAGAGGATGTGGATAGTAGATATCCTCCTGTAATAACGAATTAAGTATTACTTCGTTTAACGATGTTTTAAGGGCTTAATTGTGGTGTTATTCAAATGCCTTTGCAGTTTGCACATTACAAAGATAAAACTTACCGGCGCACATAAATGGCGTACTTTCCTCCAATTAATTTCACTGTAAGGCTGCAGGTAGAGTTCTTCTCTCAATTGTTCAATGAGAGGTGTGATTGGCCCGACGAACCTTTTGCCATATAGATATGACATAGGCATGTACACCATACGACAGTAGCACCACATTTTAGCTGCGCATTTGAAGGGGACAAAGAAAAAACTCTTGGATTAATATCAAAATCAACAAAAAGGGATTGAAAACAACAGTTTACCGAAACCATACAAGGGAATGCCTAACCTCTGTTAGCAACAGAGGATTTCATAACAATTGTCCTATTCAAAACTAATTAGATCTACTATTGCCCTCTATTGGTATGCAGTGATGTTGCTGACACCATATATTTGTACAACAATGCAATTAAATGAATTCATGCAAACCTGGATGCATAGGAAGGAAAGAAGGAAGGATCCAGAACTCTGGGGGCATTGGGTTACTTCCAGACCAGTCAAAAACACCGAGTATCTGCAGCAAAAGATGATTGTATAATTAGCAAACGTTTGTCCTTCATTCACTTTACTCTCTACAGTTTATTGTTTTTACTTCCCTCAAGTCGAGGCCTTAAAATTTTAAAAGTGAACTTGCAACGCATGGGAATCATACCGAAAGCCAAGTCTTTCCCCAAGAGGGCATGTGAGTCACACTGCCATGATCAAGAATCCACTTGCGGGCTCTTGCACAAGCATTGTCCTGTCCGCCATCGGGTTCTACCCCAAGAATACGCATGCAAATGTAGCTAAGAGCCGTACAGAACATGGTGCTGTGACCCTCTATATGCAATCCCCAGCCACCATCTTCATTCTGCATTCCAAAAAAAGCCGTCACCAAGCTTGACCTAAATCCTTCAATTCAATTTTATGTAATTAACACATTATAGAGTTTGTACCTGATGGTAGTATATATAACGAAGGATTTCTCTACGATGCTCTTCAGGGAATACAGTGTTAAGGTGTCCTGTGATGTATGTACTGAAAACCTGCAATTTTGAGTTGTTAACAATAATGGTGATTAGCATTTGTATTTAGATAAAGTGGTTAGGCAAGTCAGGAATACTGTGGAACTCATTGTACTACGACTAGCACAGTTAATTATTACGAGCTAGCCAGTTTGCTACAGAATTTTGTTTCGATTCTGCTACGCCCTCTGTCTGCTGCTCTTTGTATATTAACACACTGGTTTGCTGTTCTGTTATGTCGTGTAGTATCTTTGCTTGTGTTTGTTAAGCCATTCTAGATTCATATTGTAATTCCTACAGAAGAAGAGAGTGGAGTTTCTATTTGCCAGTATAAGATTAATATATGCCCACCACATTTCCCACGCGGTACGGTTTAAAGTGCATTTATTATTATTATTATTATGATTTCTAATTTTCCTATCCAATAGGAGGCACACTCGCCAACTAGCCAGGCCAACTGTTGACCTCATGCGGGCCTGATATAGTCAAAAGTAGCATCATCTTGGCTAAATATGAAAGCTGAAGGATGCTCACCTGTGCGCATTCAGAATTTCAAATTTGAGGAAATCAAAATAAAAAGTTATAAAATTTTTAAAAATTAAAATTAAAATTAAAATGACAAATATTTAACATAAAATAAAATAATTATAAATTTTTAAAATTTTGGGAGGAGGGGGCCTTGTAAGGCCCCCCGCCCTCATGCTTACCAAGGGTGGAAGGAAAAACAATGGACCAGCATTTTCTGCCGGCCAATGACCGTCACTAGCCTGCAAAGCTGAGAAGAAATGGACAGACCTCTTCAGTGCTGCAGTGGCCTTCTCATACGAGATCTGCTCACCCTCCTCAATTTTCACTGCTGGGATAGTTTGCTTGAAATTCTTTTCCCTCAGAAACTGCAAAGATTTTAAGTCAAATTAAGAAATTAAGTGAACAAATCCATTCAAGTTATAAATACTCATCGTACGAATAACCAACCTAAATTATTTTACATTTAAATATTTAATTTATTAATTAATATATTATCTTTTATCTAAAAAATAAAATTCAAATACTCTTCTCTTAATTATATATAAAAAAAAAACTGACCCAAATTATTCATATTACCTGGACAGTAACTTTCTTATAAAAGTGATCCGCCTAACATAGTTACAGTGTTATTATATCCGACACATTTGTTGTCATCACCTAATAAAAATTTATGCAACCGAGTGTTGTCAGAAATCACCAAAAAGGTCTAGATTCTATACCAAGGATGTCGTTTTAGGCTTGTAGGCTTCTAGTCTATGATTTGATAAGGTTAAGAATGTGAGCAGCCATAGTAAGACCCGAAGAGATGGAACTCAGCCGAACAGATAGAATATAAACAGAAGATCCATGAGAAATAAATGATGGGTTTTTCAGACTTTGCCGTCCTCCTTCCTTGGTAGAAATGTGGGATGCCCAAACTTTTCCAAGTCGTAGCTATTTCCTCCTTTGTTCCAGTTTCTCCACTTTTGCTGTTTTCCTCCTTTCCCACACGGAAACCATTCCACCTACCCCTCCCTCTTTTATATATATATATATATATATACATATTTCATTTTGGATTCTCCGCTAGATATTATAAATCAAAAGAATATCTTTCTTTAAGGACAACCCTATTTTGAAATCAATTTTTTTTCCGTTCAACGTAAATTCATTATATTTATTTCCACCTATAATTCTGATCATCTATAACTATAACTTGTATTTTAATTGAAAAAAAATCATATGACATTTGTGTCTGTAGGAAAACAAGGTAAACCAGGGCAGCCCGGCATGCAAGACCCAGTAATTTTCTTTTCTTTCGCTTTTACTATTTGATTTGGAAATACTTAGTTTGGCGCAACATAAATGGGTTTACATCTTCCCCTTTAGCCATTCAAAGTTATGCACATCTCTAGCAAAACATGACCTTTGTACGTGTTTTTAGCCCCCGGATTTTGTCTCTACACATGCAACAAGGGTCTTGACCATGCATGCCATATATTTCAGTCAACGAAATCGGCATCTTTGTTTTGTTTATGCCAAATGACTAATCATAATATTATCTTTATCCTTTTTTCGTTTAAACGTTGGACTAAGGTTATATTTATCTGCACATTTAGAAAAAAAAAAATAGGAATTGATATTGTCAAACAAAGGCAATTTCTCCTTTTCCATCTTTTGGGTCAAATAGTAGTTTGTGGAAAAAGAAAAGCCATCGGAAGTAACCTACTTGGACAATAGAATAATTCCCTACAACCCCATCCAGAGAAATCACATAAAACTTAGTGAAAAGAGAATAAGAGCCAGATTTTAATTAGTAAAAACCAGTTTGAATGAAAGAAGAAACAATCCGTACATGAGTAGCTAAGAGGTATCTAATAGTAGTCAGAAGAGAGGCTTCAAATAATTAGGCGCAATAATCCCAATTAGTGAGAAGATGGCTCTGTTGAATTGTCAGGAAAAAGCGTAAATATCTATTCATTTAAATATAACTTATACTAGGCAGAGGAAGGAAGCAATTAATAATTTCTCGCAGGATTCTGGGTTCAGAGCTCAAAAGGGCAAAAAAAAAAAAGGGGGGGAAAACCGTGTGTTGCTACCTGCATACGCCAAAGGAGATCGCCACTAGGCTTGACTTGGTAACGGTTTTCGTAGAAATTTTGTCGAGCCTCTTCAACCTCGGCTCGCTCTTCAGGGGTGCCAGCATCAGGGTCGAATTCCCAGGTTTGCCTGCCCACGTAGTTGTTTGTGCTGTACAAGTACGGGCCATCTACACCCTCTGCAGTCTTAAGCTTCCACATTCTTCTAAAACTTGGCTTATATAGTCAAACTAGCAACTGTTGCATGGAGATGCGTATAACAAAACATAGTCAGGAAAACATCTAAAACTGCAAATTTTGTTTGAATGAAACAAGAGCTTAAAAGAGAAACACAGATTTGAAGAAAATAAGCTGGAAACGGCAAGTTTTCCCAAAGAAACCATTGGGAGTTGTCTTGTAATATCTAAGAAACAGCTGAAAAAACCATTGGAATCTAATCGTTGAAAGGATTACACAGCTGAGACGTTTTCCATAACAGCTATTTTATTTCAGGTTTCAACAAAACCATTTAGGAGACAAAGATGGAAAAATATACAAGGAGAAAGCAGCTGCAACATGGAACATGCAAACAAGGGGTATTAGATTTTGGACTCAACCTGATAAGATAGTATGTACTGCACTACTTTCCAAAAGATCAAGGGAATATTTGCAGAAAATTTAGCAACTTTTCAATACTCAAAAAGATTTGGGAAAAGGAAAACAGATGAGTTTATTGTTTCCTGGATCTGAAACTCAAAGGCAGGAAACTAGGCGTTTTGATTTTTGGGTGCCAAGGGAACAATGGTTTATATAGAGTTAAGAGTAAGATGGCAGCCCACCATGGCTTACTTATATGCCCTTTTCCCTCAGTTTTCGCGGTTGAAGTCAGTGTGTTACAAAGACTAATAAAACAAAAATGGGAATACCAATGTAGGAACCCGTAAAAGAAAAGACTGTCTTTGGCACTTTCATAGGAAATTCATGTAGGCGGTAATGTGCTTAATGACTTTAATTAATTTGGGTGCTGCTCTAAAAGAAAAGGGTATCGTTACAGGCGTATGATCATTAGGCTTCTACTGGGTTATTTTATTCCGCCTCTTAGAACGCAAAGAACTTAAATTAAAAAACTTAATAGCATGACGATATATTTATACAAAACTTCTATCCTGAGTACACACAATTGAGCCACAAACAGTCAAGTGAAATCCAATCTTCGAAATAATTTGATCTATGGACATCATCGTTATGCTAAAAGTCGTACTGCCAGAGGAATCATTACGACAAGGCAGAAAGGGAGGTCATAAGCGTCTATACCGTAAAATCGATTTTCGATGAAATGACTACATTTAACTACAATAATTGTTTTCTTTTTCTTTGGTGTCTCTCACCAACAAAATGAAATGCATGATGATTTTGAGGAAATAAATTAATGAAGTCAGTTAAATCTGCATGATGTATATGTTCTTTGAGTCAGGCATAATAATAATATATTAATGCTGACTGATTCATTTTGTTTTGTTATTTATCTTTGAACAAGAACTTAAGGGTTGGACTTCTTACCTTGTTAGGTAGATATAATAAAAATATTTCCTTCTTTACTAGTAAATTAATTACTTTTTCATCATAATAACCTCCCACGTATCCAAAAGAACACCATTAATTAATTACGTTTTAACCTTTTCTAATTACCCTATTTGGATCATAAAAAATTTTAAACCAAGGAAAATATCAAGGGAAAAGGGAAAATTATTTTCCTTAATTAGAAAAAAAGGGGAATCAATGGGTAGAAGCACATAACCAAATACTTACGAACTAATAGAATTTATTTTGTTCCATTAAAAAATAATTAAACACCTATTTTAATTTAATAACCTCAATTTGATAGGTTGAAATTGAAATTTGAGTATGATAATGATATAACAACAAAGTAGACCATGTTACCAAAGGACATTTTTAATTTATATAATTAATAAACAAAAGTTAGTGGAGTCGTCCAAAGTACCGAGTCTTACGTCTCCAGCTAATATGAAAGCCGCAAAGCTGTCTAAGCCGCGGAAGCATGGCTTTGACTGACAAAGTCATCCCTCACTCTTTTCACTTCACCCAACAAACGAGAAAATGATTTCTCATGATTTTATTTTATTTTTACTTAAATTTTTCCCAAACAAAATTAATAGAGCATAAAAATTTGACTTCATAATCATTTTAGGTTTGAACATTTATTCCTTTTAAATTAAGAGGTTACTTTTTTTTATTTTATTGATTTAATTATTTATCGAAGTAACGAATGTAAATCTAGGTTTGCGAGCAGTTACTCTCACATGCATGGTAACTTTAATTCAATAAAAGGCAATCATTAATTTTTTTATCAATTTTTCTTATATATATAAAATAAAAAACGTTGCATATTTAATTCGAGAGAAATAACATGTTAAATCATTAAATCAAAAAATTGATAAATTAGATTTTGAAACGAGTGTTTATCCTAAAATCTATATTGAAAATTTTGTGCTATTTATATTTTATTTACTTTGTTTTATATATATATATATATATATATTATAAATATAAAATCGAATGAATTAGAGAGAGAAAAGTAACTCGTGGAAAAACAAAGTGAAAAAGGGGGTTTAGTCTAGGATGGCAGGCTATGGTAATCAGTGAGAAAAGACCCCACATGCCCACAAATAGCTCTCCCATTTTGGTAATTGTGTGGATAATTGGCGATGCATCAAACGATACGCTAAGTTGACTTGCGTTATATGCCTGCTAGCAAGTCGTGTTCATGGCAACTAAATCAAAGAAATAACTAAAAGATATTGGTCATTATTCTTTCCCATGATCAAAAGTGGCTCCCATGTGTATGTAAATGTTGATAATATATAGTATTAGATCCACTTCAAACAGGAAAAAAAATCAATATATCAATTAATTGAATTGTTGTTAATATTCTTTCATTGCCCTTGGCCAGAATTCAACGAGATTCACACATTTTGTCTGTGAAATCTACCCTATAATGATGATAAATAGAACCTTAGCCACTTGGAATTGTTTTTCCTAGAAAACACAAGGAGGAATAAATAGCGTCCTCAACCACTCTATTAGCTTGTAGTATAGCAAATTATTTTCAGATCAATAGGTTGATTAGCTTCTTATATTACCTAAAACTTATAAATATTTACAATAACTATGATTATGATTTTAATGATCATTGATAGTAACTTCACATTATTATCATATTGATATTATATGTTATAATTGAAGTAAATACTATCAAGATAAAGCCCATCTTTGAAGACCACAAAAAGCGGTGCTCCTTTTTTGCAAAACATGCCTTTCATGCTTACTTTTATTTTTTCTTTAGTTGAAAAGAATTTTTTTTATAATTAAGGAAGGGAAGATTCGAATATTATTTTTTAAGTAAAAAATAATACATTAAGTAATTATTCAAATGCTTGAGTGTCAGTAAAAAAATAATTTTTTTTTAAAAAATAAATAAATATTCAAATAATCCTTGACCGGGCTCCTATCTTAATACAAGACTCTAATGATAGGTTTGATTCATAAAATGTAATAGAGGAGAATAAACTGATTATTCTATAGGAATAGAATATGGTATGAATAGCTATATATTATGTAGTTTTGTTTATGAAATGAAATAAAATAAGAATTACTATTATGATTTATCTCAATGTTTGGTAGGTAAATATATTTTTAGAATAATAAAGAGATTTTTTTTGTGAAAAGTAGACTAATAAAGAGATAAGTGATGAAAAAACAAAAAAAAACCTTTTATTATAATAATTTGATTTTTAATTTAAAATATTTATTTTTTTATTTATTAAGATATTAATAAATTTTTATTTAAAAATTACAGCAATCCAAATAATCTTAAAAATTGTGTAAAATATTTACCTTGATTAAATTTTGTATTATTAAGTATACTTGTATTGGTTCTATCTATCTTTTTTTTTCCGTTTCAAATTCGAACTATCTGGCATCATCTAATATATAATTAAATCACTATTACATAAAATAATTAGTCAAAATTGTAACCATGCAAGTCCTTGAATCTTTCTTCCTTTCTCTAGTCATGACGCGATATTGGAGCTTATAGTTCTTGGATTTATACATTCATATTTGTCATTTTATATTACATAATATTGATAAATACAATTGAGTAATGTCTGAATATTTTCATATGGGGTGCCATATGTTTGAATTGGCAAAAGTCATGAAAATTTGATGGAAGTATTCAAAGGTTAATGAATAATTATATGCATTAATTATAAAACAACACACACAAACACGCCTTTTTAGCCTTGTTCCTATCCTTGCTTATGTAAAATGCTTGGCTCGTTCAAGTTTTCCCTATTAACGTTGAACATAAATTATTATATTCAATATTAGGATATAAATATTTTAATTGCTCTAACGATTTCAGAGATATTGATCAGGTATATTTTGTTTTTTCATTTTGGGTTTATGATAATTGAGAATATTGATTAGTTTAACCTGTGATGTGATGATAGACTTGAAAGGGGAAGTAGGTATGGAATAATAGTTATAATAAAGGAGTTCTTTGGAGGAGAGGGGCCCTTTACTCTCTTTCAAATACGTTACCAAATGGACCCTATCAAAGTTGGCATGTAAAGGTGCAAGTTAATTAATCTTTAAACAAGAAGAAAACATCTACAAATCAGAATCATACCCCATGATTTTTTTAAGTCAACCTGTTTCTTGTGAAACTTGGTTTAAGCCAATTTAGGCGTAGCTTTATTAATTTGACTAAGTCCTACCCGGTAATACAAGTTAATGCTTGACCCAACAAGCAAAAGTGAGTTGGACACATGGCACAAGCATTGTTAGTGGGAAAAACAATGGCTTTACTTATATGGGACTCTGCCTACATCTGGGAGACCTTTGAATAAGGTTAATTTTATTTTTTCGAAAATCCTGTGGGCTGCTTGAAGTCAGTATGCTGACTAATTTGTCCATGAATTTCTTTAAAATGTTGTCTAGCTTAATGGTTTTTCATTGCAAACATTAATTTAAAGTCCTAAAATGCTTGTCACGCATTCTATTTTGACATTTGCACTTCTAGCATATATATATATATATATATATATATATATATATATTTTTTTTTAAACTTTTATTTTCATGCTACAATCTAAAGCCATCCGACAGTACACTTGACGGAATCATGAGAGTAAAATTTT